AGAGTTCCTCTTCCTGGCTCTGCCACATCCAGGGACTTTCCCCCCTCTCTCACTTCTGCTGGCACAGGGGAAACTGGTCTTGTTAACTCCACAGTTCCTTCTATTTGAGTTGCTACCTTCCCCCCTGTGCTTTGAGAAACACAGACTTTAGGGACTATCTTTTGTCACTGTGTCTGCCACTTTCTACTCCAAGTGGCTTATGAAGTATTCCTTCTAAAAGAAATTATACACATGGTACTTCTTCTAGGAGAAATTCTGGTGGATAAAGACTTCTCCACATGAGTACATCATGGTAATACTGAAATCAGCTACACACAGTGGCACACAGAAGAGCAAAATACTGTGGCATAGAAGGCCAAAGGAAGTCTGGAGCTGGCTGAGGGTGCCCCAGAATAAGGAGCCTTTCCTGAAGGCAAACTGTAAAGAGAAGATGACTTGCTCAGAATGTTCTCTTTGTAAGGAAAGCAGGTTCCACAGTAGTGTGGTCTGAGAATGAGAGAGATTAATGGCAGAGGGACTGACTGACAGCCTGCTGTGACAGAGGATTAGTGTGTTTGTGGTCCACTTGAAGTTTCCAAGCTTTTCACAGGAAGATCTCTTTTATTATGGGTTTCATAATTTCACTTATTAACACTATTTTTATTTTTTTGGCCTTGAATTTTGAACAAATTTATTTTTACAGAAAAGTTGTAAAAATAGTAGTTCCCAAATAGCCACCAGGTAACTTCTATTAATATCTGATAGTGTAATTATTCCAAACAAGGAAATTAACATTGATATAATATTACTAACAAATCTATGAACTTTATTTAAATTTCTTTTTTTGTGTAGATATATTTAAAATTTTTATTTACTTTTGGGAAAAGTATTTGTATTGCTAAAGGCTCATTTTTAGTAGCAAAGCTTGCTTTCTACTTCTAAGCATGGCCAAGAGATTTATATTCGCTTCTATTGCAGTGTAGGCCGGGCATCTTTTGCAGAAATTCATTTCATACATCATGGAGTTTTTATTTGGATTTACTTTTTTTTTTGCTTAAATTCTTTTATTGTTACATTTTAGGTATACAATACATTTACATTAATCATTGGGTGCTTGTACCTGTACATGATGTATCTTGGTTCTTATTTTTTCCATTACCTGTCCACCCTTCACCCTCTCCAGCCTTCCCTATTTACATAGACTTCGTTTCCATTTTTTTTTCTTTTCTCATAATTTTTCCTTTCCCCACCTCCTCCCACCACCCCTACCCCTTTGGACCTTTTCCTATTTGAAAGTATCAATTATTAGTTATTAATCCTTTTAATCCTTATTTACACTCTCAGTTTCTCACACTAGAGAAACTATTCGGTATTTACACGTGTGTCTTATTTATTTCACTTAAGAGTATGGCCTTAATATGCATCCATTTAGCTATACATGACTCTAGTTTCTTGTTCTTTATGGCTGAGTAGTACTCCATTTTATAAAAAAACTACATCTTCTTTATCCAGTTTCCAGTTGATGGGCACTTGGGCTGTTTCTAAGCTTTAGCTATTATAAACTGTGATGCTATAAACATGGGTGCACATATATCACTGTGGCATGGTTCTTTTAATTCTTTTGGGAAAATACCCAGCAGGGGACTAGCTGGGTCAAATGGGACCTTTAGCCCTAGTTCTTCGAGGTATCTCCATACTGACTTCCACAGTGGTTGCACCAGTCTGCACTCCCACCAACAATGGAGAAGGGTTCCTTTCTCTCCACACCCCCGGCAGCATTTGTTATTGGTTGATTTCTTGATAGCAGCCATTCTTTGTGGGGTGAGGTGGAATCTCAGTGTTGTTTTCATCTGCATCTCTCGAATGACCAGTGATGTTGAACATCTTTATTTAAATTTCAACAGTTTTCTTATTCATGTTCTTTTTTTGGTCCGGTCTCATCCAGGGCAGCTAAATTATAAGTAGTTGTTGTGTTTTCTCAAATCTGTGACACTTCCTTAGTCTTCATTTTTAGTGATCTTGAGACTTGAATAATATTAGTCAGGCATTTGTAGAATGTCCCTCACCTTGGGTTGGATGGTTTCAGGTGGTCAGGCTGAGGTTATGCATTTCTGGCAAGGCCACCACAGAAATGAAGTCATGGCCTTTTCAGTGCATTGTTAGGAAGTACAGAGGTCTTTTTCATGGTGATGCTAATGCTGGTCACTTGGATAAGTTGGGTTTCATCACATTTCTTCACTAGTAAGTATCTTGTGGCGAAATATTTTTGAGTCTATGAAAATGTCCAATTCTCATCATTCTTCCATTCATTTATTTTAGCATCTATCAATAGTTCTTGCCTGCAACAATGATGACTACAATGTTTGCCTAATGGTGGTTTTCTGTTTCTATTATTATTTCCATGTCTGTTCATTGGAATTGTACAATAAGGAAGTATGTCTTTCCTCTTATTTATTGATTCATACCAGTGTGGACTAAGATAAATATTCATTTTATTCTACGGGCTAGAATGTAAGACTGTCATGGTTTTGTGGCTCAAATTGTCCAGGCTCTGGACATTGGGAACTCCAGTTTCACTCCTGGCTCCCTTCTGACACCTCCTTTTCTTTGTGACACCACAAAACACTCCATGTTCTTGTTTTTCTTCAACTCCAACTCCACCACTATTTTTTTAATAAGATTTTTTTGTTTGTTTGTTTTAAATTGGAGAATAGTATTTAGAAAGCAAGGTCTAGATGCTAGATTTCAGTGTACCAACTGGGGTGTCAATCATCCTAGGTTTTTTTATGGAGTGTATGTGTTTGTGCGGGTGTGCAGCCATGAGTAAATACCAACAATTCCAGTTCCTATCCTCCAGCCTCCTCCATTCCTTATTTGTAACTTGTTTTTCCAAGAGGAGCAAACCTGACTCTCACAATTCACAATACATTTTCTTAATTTGAGAATACAGATAAGAATTTCACAATTACTAATTTATACTCCTATGAAACATAAATGTACTAACTAGAGCATAATATTTGTATGGTTAGTTTTTGTCTTTAGCTTTACCATGTACAGTCAAAATACCACTTTCCAAAGTTACTTAAGTGAGCCCTTTGCTTCCCACCCACTGGCTGTGGTTATGTTAATCACTTACCACACAGTCCCTTGTTCCCAGCTGCATCTCAGGTTGTCCTGCTTCACACCCACTAGGCCGCACCACTGTTTCTCCTGTCCTACTTGCCAGTTCTTTCCAATCTGTTCTCAACCTTTCCCTGTAGGTATCCAAACTTCAGTTTTGGTTCCTGCTCATAGAATTAAAAAAAAATGAACATGAAATTTTCTTTTTATCCTCTTCAATCATTTTATGGAGATATATTTCCCATACTGTTAAATTCACCCTTTAAAAATGTGCAACCTACTGGTTTTTAGAACATTCTTATAGTCTCAACAAGAAACCGTGTCTATCCTACTCCTTCTTCCTCCCAGCCCCAGACAACCATTAACCTACTTTCTATGTCTATGGATTTGCCTGCTCTGGACATTTTATGTAAGTGGGATCATTCAACACATAACCTTTTGTCTCTGTCCTTTGTTACTTACTATACTATTTTCAAGGTCCATTCATAGCATGTATCAGTACTTCATTACTTTTCATGGCTGAATAATATTCCAGCCCATGGATATACCACATTTTTTGGTACATTCATCAGCTGACAAAAATCTGGCTTGTTTTCACAACTATACTGTAATGCTGCCATGAACATTTGCTTTCAATTCTTTTAGGTAGAGAAGTAGGGGTGGAATTACAAGGTCAGGTGGTAACTCTGTATTTAACTTTTGATGAACTGCCCCCCAAATTTTCCCAAGAGGCTGCACCACTTTACATTCCCATAAGTATATGTTTCAACTTCTTCATATCTTTGCCTATACTTCTCTTTTAAACATAATTATAGCTATCCTGTGTGTGATATCTTTATAGTTTCAGCTTATATGTATTTTTCAATGACTAATAATGTTGAACATCTTTTCACATGCTTTTTCATCATTTATAAAACCTGAATGAAGAAACGCCTACTCAAGTCCTTTGCTCATTTGAAAACTGGATTATCTTTTTAATTCCTGAGTTGTAAGCATTCTTTACAAATTCTGGATACAAGTTCCTTATTATATATATATGATTTGCAAATATTTTCTTCCATTCCATAGGTTGTCTATAGGTGTCCCTTGATACATGGTATTTCTAATGTCAATGAAGTCCAACTTACCTACTTTGTTTTTTGTTGTTGTTGCTTGTATTTTTGATGCCATGGCCTGGTCTGAAGTAATGCAGATTTATGCCTGTTTTCTCCTCAGAGTTTTCTTGCTTTGGCCCTGATAGTTAAGTTTTGATCTATTTTCAGTTCTTTTTTTTTTTTTTGGTACCGGGGATTGAACTCAGGACCTTGTGTTTGCAAAGCAGGCAGCAGGACCACTGAGCTAAATCCCCAGCCCAGTTAATTCTTAACTATGGTGTTAGGTAAAGGCCCAACTTCCTTCGTTGGCACAGGGACACACAGCTGTCCTGGCTCCACCTGGTGACTCTCCTTTCCCTATAGAATAATTATGAGCACTCTTGTCAGGGACAATCCATTGACCATAAATGTAAGGGCAGACCTCTTAATCTTAGACTCCCCAGCCCCCAAGACATAGGCCAACCAACTGATGTGTAGTATAAATCACCCAGTCTCAAGTACTGTCACAGCAGCACAAACTGACCAGGCAGTCGTGCACTTCGGAGGTCAGTCCTTCCTCTGTAGTGTATGCTACAAGTACATTCTACAGTTTGTCAGTTACCTTTTCACTCCCTGTGTGTTCAGTACAATTGTAAATACTTTCACCATCATATTTATCAAACTCTTCTTTTACTGCCCCTGGGATTTGAGACACAGTGGCAAAACTTTTCTAAGAGGTTAAAGAAGAATTGTCCTGGTTTTTTTTCTCCAAGTATTTGGACTAGATCCCCAAGCCACTGGGATTTAAAAAAAAAAAAAAGCATGGTGTGAACAATGGATGTACTTTATTTATTTAAACTGCCGATTCAGTCGTTCCAGGACCTTTTATCAGGAACCTCCGGGCCGCCCCGGCAGTGTGAGCGGCAGTGTGAGCAGCGTTGCTCCCGCCGACCCTGCAAAGGCCTCTGCCCGCTGAGAGGAAGTCTGCATCCGCTTCGGTCCGGAGGGCTCCTCTGTACCTGCGGGTTGGTGAATCACCTACCGCTGAAAGGTGTTTTTATGCCAGCTTTTGTAAAGTTCATTATTAATACAAAACTCACTCAATGTTCACATCAACTCGCCAATCTGTTAAGTTCCGGAACGCAGCATGCTAACCCGTAGGGCACAGGTACAGCCGAGGCCGGGAAGCCTTCAGGTCAGGGTCCGCTCGGGCCTGGGAGGCGGGTCCGGGGCGGGTGCGGGGCGGGACCGGGGCGGGTGCGGGGCGGGGCGGGCGTCGGGGACGTGCTACGTGTGCGCGGCCAGGAAGGCGCGCGGCTTGAGGCGGTGAGATGGCGGCGAGATGGCGGCGACGGCGGCTGTGAGCGGCGCCAAGCGCAAACTTCGGGCCGAGTTGAAGCAGCGTCTGGCCACCTTGAGTGCTGAGGAGCGACGGCGCCAGTCCCGCCTGCTAACACAGAAGGTGCACGGCGTGGGGATCTCGTGCGGCAGGCTGCGGCGGGACCCGTCACCACACAGGCGCGGCTCTCGGCACGTGCTCCCCCTGTCCGCCCCCTCGGGGCCGCCGCGCTTCCCCCCCCCCTCCCGCCCGCGGGCACGTACACGTTTCGGACCCCTCGCTGCATCTCCTCCTTGGTCCCCGACGGCGCGCTCACAGCCTTTTCCGTTCCCTTGCGCCGATTCCCCAACTCTACCCAGGTGCCCCTGTATCGAGGCGCTGTGGTGGTAGAACCGGGGTCCAGTCCGTATTCTGTCTCCCTCGTGCACCTCTGCGGCCTGGGCCGGAAAGGGAGAGACAGAGCAGCAGGTCCCGGAGGGCTCGGGAGTTCGGGTGGGGAGGGCCAAGGTCTGTCACTCTATGAGGACAGGGGCCCCCCCGCGGGGACCACGTGGCCTCACAGGCCTCCTGGTCGGGCCTGCGGTAAGAGGGGAGGCCGACGCGACAGGATGAGCCAGGGCTTTTTGTATCCTGATCCTAACCCACATCCTAATACCTAGTCCCTTGTCTTAACCCGACACTGCCTCTACAGAATGAACAGCACCACCCCTGCAAGTCTGGGGACAAGTAACAAGGATATGATGGAACATAACCCTGTGCTCCCCTGACCCTGACCCTTGTAGACCTGTTGAGTGGTGTGTGACAGGACATGACCAGTGCTATCTGTATTCTGACATAAATGTGAACCCTGACCACCATCCCTGCAGGCCTGTGGTGAGAGGTAAAGCGGTATGTGACAGGGCACATCCAGTGCTTTCTGTACCCTAACCCTAACCATAACCCTGACCCTGAACCTTGGAGATCTATTGGACAGTTAAGGGGTGTGTGAAGGAACCATGTTCCTGGGTTTCCTTACCCTACCCTAATCATTACCCAAACCCCAGCCCTTATCTGGACCCTGGCTGGCCTGTGATCAGAGGTAAAGCTGCATGACAGGACACACCCAGTGCTTTCCATATTTCTGCTAGAGCCATTAGGAAGGACATATTAGCATTTGGATAATGGATTGGGGAAATAAGGAAGAAAGAAAAAATGACCAGTTGAAGGGCGATCATGATAATTCAAGGAGGGTGATGGAGATGTAAACCAGAGGATGGGCAGTGGAGAGATTGGGAGAATCAGCAGACCTGGCAATTGATTGGATGGGGGGTAGAGTGCTTGCAGGAGAGGGAGTCACCTGTAGCTCCATATGTAGAGCAGGGATAACACTTCAGGATTACTAAACATCAGGAATGTAAGAATTAGAGCAGATTTTTGGACAGACATGGGGAAAATAAGGATGAGTTCAGTTTGGTGTCTTTGTCCATGGGAGATGTTTTCTTCAAACAGGTCTTGCTATGTTGCCTGTATTGGCCTTGAACTCTAGGTTCAAACCTTCTTCTCTCAGCCTCTGTGTAGTGTCTAGAACATACATCATAAACTTCAGGTGGGAATAGTTATTTAGAGACAGAGCTGCTGACAGTAGTAGAATTACAACTAAGAGCATCAAAGGAGGAAACAAAAATTAAAAAAAAAAACAGACCCATGAGTCTCAGTAATATACTTTATCCCATATATGCAAATAGTCACATATAGTGAATCTGCTTCCCAGCTCTTACATGTGCATTCCGTGATCAACTAATGGATCATGGCCCTAAAATCATTGTACTATGACTAGAACAGTGTTTTCCCTTAGTGAATGCTTAATAAAGGTATTAGATAAGATTACAGATATTATCCACATCTGTAATCCCAGCTTTGTGGGAGGCTGATGCAGGAGGATTGAAAGTTACAGCCCAGCCTAGGAAATTTAGCAACTTAATAAGACTCTGTCTCATAATAAAAAAATATTATACAAGAGGCTGGGCATGTAGTTTAGTCATAGGCCCTGGGTTCGGTCCCCAGCACTGGAAAAAAAGAAAAAGAAAAAAGGTATTAGTGATGGTAACGATGTCTTCAGATCATTAAAAAGTATTCCTATTGGCATAGCATCTGTTTTGTAATTTAGAAATTTATGAGAAAAGTAATGTATGGTAAATTAAGCTTTATGCCTTTATACCCTTACTAAGATGAGGAAATTAGTGGCCCTTTATTCTTTTTATCTTCTACTCTGCCAATTTCTGATGCCTATATTATGTTGTTAAAATTATATGAGAATATACTCTAAAAAAGTGGAAGAAAAAAACCCAAGAAAGATACTGAATTCAAGAAACAGCCCTACCTCAGAAGCAGGGTAAAGAGAGACCTCAGGGTGATGGCTGTGTGCTGGGCCAGAAGGCACCCAGACCCAAAGATGCAGGGCTAGAAGGCCTTAAAAGGAAAGTAGATCTATTTTTACAGACAAAATGAAAAAGAATCTATTGATAAGATAAAGCCATACTCTTTGTTTTGCCAAAAAAAGAAAAAAACCGTAAAGGTAATCAAAAATTCTTGGAATAATACAGTTAAGTCAATTTTATATTTAAACGTTATTCTGTAACTATAATGAATCTAATGAGCAGTAATTCTGGCTCATTTCAAAACCTGAAATTCCAGTAAACAGATTTTATAGTATTTTGTTATATACATAGTATTCGCTATAGAACTCATTTGGCTAATAGTTTGAATTTCAAATTTAAATGCTTTTCTTGTTCTGCCCAATACCTGTGCCCTCAACCTAGAAACTGGTGGCTTTATTTATTTATTAACCTAGAAACTGGTGGCTTATCTCTTTTCCTTTATGTCTTTCTGGAATTATTGTTAATAAAAAATCTTTTGTCTTTTAACATTTTTTTCCTCTCCTTTTCCTACTTTTGTCCTATTCCCCTACCCCAAGATTTTTTCCTAACTTGCTTTCCATTTTACTAATCTCAACTTTTTATTTGAGGAATGCTAGGGATTGAACCCTGGGCCTTGGGCATGCTAGATGAGCACTCTATGACAGAGCTACACCTGTAGGCCTGTTAATTCCAATGTTAATTTCCAGTGATTATTTCTTACATTTCTGATTGTTTCTTTCTCGTAGCTGTCTGTTGATATTTTATAGATGTAGTTATCTTTTCTGAGTTTAAGAAAACTAGAATTAAAAAAAAATTCTCAGTTCTTCAAGTTACCTCACTTTCCCACTGGATCATTTTTTCTCCCCTTTTCCCTCCCTTCTTCTGTCCCTTCCTTTCTCCCACTTTATGTTTTGGTTTTCCAAGATACTTGATGACCCTTTGCCTTCTGTATATGGTTCTGAATGAAGGTATGTTAGCTAATGGAGAGTCCTTTGCCTTTTGTAGTTACTTTGTGAGGGACCTTAGGCAGGAATGGATTCTGCCCTACCTGCCTCCACGTTCTCAGAGTGTGATTTGCTGCTTCGTCTATTAATAGTGTCTCATCCACTCTCTGTCTTATAACAGTTAGCCAACTCTCTGTTTTCTTGTTCTCAGTGGTATAATGGATTTTCTTTTTTTGGGCTTCTTTACAAATGTCATGGAAATGAGATTTAGGGAAGGAAGATAAATGTGTATGCACAGTCTCACACTGAATTTTAACTAATATTTCTTATTGCTTATTCAGCTCTTGATTTTCTATATTCTGCTTTAAAGAAAACAAGAAAGACACTTAACTTTCTCATCTAGTACCTGGTGCCAAGAGCCCCAGGCCTGCCCAAAGTGTGAGCTCCACATTTCCATTTTCCTTGCCTTTCCTAGGCCTCATGGAAGCTGTGCTGCTTTTCAAAAAGGAGTTAACTTCCTTCCTAGCACTGGTCTGATGTGTTCTACCTACTTAATTTCTTTTTCCCTTTTTATTGGGAATTACTTGACTTCCTATACCTGTATCTTTCTGCCAATCACATTTATGAGCTGCTTTTGTAGTGTCTTTTTCTTCTTAGCTTGGGGACAGGGCAAAGCGGAAATGGAAGGGTGATTGTTGACTTTTCTATGGTAAGCAAATCTCAGTCCCCTTCTGCCTGAGGAATTATTCTTTCTTTCTTCAGGATCTCTGTTCCTATCTTAGTGAACATTTCAACATTCAGTTGAACAGAACGGAGTGGGGTAGTAGAGCTAAGAGAGAATTATAAGACATGTTTTCTGCTTCAGGGATCTTAGGGACTGGTTCAGGATATTACACTTAGGGCATATAAACAACTGGTGATCATCTCATGACAATACAGAATTAAGTCGTATAATTCTAAATGTATAAGGGTTCTACTGAACTTAGGAAAAGTTAGGGCTTGCATTTGGCTAACAGGTAGAATTTAGGAGGAGAGAAACCTGATAGTGTGAGGAGTGGAGAAGTTTGTAGGAGCCAAGATTTAGAGATAAAAGAAAGGAGAAGCCTGTGAAATGACTGAGGAGGTGAGAATCAAGCTGGAGACAGAGTGGGGCTCCCCTCGGTGTGACTTTTGAATGAATGTTCACGCCTTTGAGTGTGGGTTTGCCAAAGGGGAAAAGGGATCAGAGAAGTAAGGCTTGGGTTTTGAATGAAAGTCAGACTTCAGCACTTAGTGACCTCGAACCCACTATACTACCTTGCTTTTTTTTTTTCTTGTAAAGTTAAAGCAAGTTAGAGAAGGTTGGGAGAGAAGAGATACTCTCAAGGGGAATCACTAGTTTAAAAAGTATAATCATGGGGTTTATAATTGTTGTAATTTCCCATTTAGGTCATTGCTCACAGTAAGTATCAAAAGTCCAAAAGGATTTCCATCTTTCTGAGCATGCAAGATGAAATTGAGACAGAAGAGATCATCAAAGACATTTTCCAACAAGGCAAAACCTGCTTCATCCCTCGGTACCAATTCCAGAGTAATCACATGGACATGGTGAAGTTAGCATCACCTGATGAAATCTCTTCACTTCCTAAAACGTCCTGGAATATTCATCAGCCTGGTGAGGATGATGTTCGTGAGGAGGCTTTGTCAACAGGTAAGTGTTTTTGTGTTAGAATCGATGTTTTAGGATGTTGTCAGATTATAATGAGTTTTTAGACCTCTGGCCCACCTGTTATTTGGGGTTCAGTGGGAGTTTCTTTTTCTGTAGGGAAGAATTTGTATTTTGCTTATATTCCAAGATGCCACATGACCAGGTTTAGGATGCAAATTCTCTGTAAGTTGTGAACTGTAGATTGTAATAGTGAGTTATCAAGGAATTGCTGCCTTCTCCCAGGCTCTTGTGCTAACCTGGTGGCCTGAATTATACATTTCCCTAAGTGATTTCATCATTAATCTATATGGTTGTGAGTGCAATATTATTATTAATGTTGGTGGGAATTTCTATCTCCAGGTCAGACCTATTACCTACCTTCTAGCTATATCTACTTGATGTCATGTGGCATCTCAAAAACAGTGTGTTCCAAATTGGATCACATTCTCAGCCCTGCTGCCATGGTCCATCTCAGCATGGCCACCACCAGCCAGTTAACTATGATAGAGATCCCTAGTAACCTTTGATTCCTCTCTTCTCATGCCCTACATACTGTCTGTTGCCAAGTCTAAGCTGCCACCATCCTTGACTGGTTTACTGTACCAGCTCCTAACTGTCCCTCTGTCCTCGTCTTGCACCCTTTCCTCCTTCTTAATCCACAATCTGCAAAGTCACTGAAACAAGATTTCTTTTTTTTTTTTTTTGCACTTTATTAAATTCTTTTATTGGTACATTGTAGGTATACAACACAATTACATTTCTCATTGGGAATTGTACCTTTACATAATGCATCTTGGTTCTTATTTTTTCCCCATTCCTAGCTCTCCCTTCACCCCCTCCACCCTTCCCTATTTACAAAGACTTTATTTCCATTTTTTCCATTTCTCATCAGTTTTCCTTTCCCTTCTTTCCTTTCCCCTGCCCCTCCCACTACCCCTACCCCTTTGGACCTTTTCTTCCTATTTTGCATTATCGATTATTCATTCTAATTGAAACAAGATTTCTAAAACACCAATCTGACTGCTTCTCCCCCATTTGAAGTCTTGCAGTGACTTTCTGCTGTCCTTAGGTTGAGGTGAACACCTCTCAAAGAGGCTCATCTGGTGTTGGTCCTGTGTATTTTCTCTCCCTGGCACGGGTACTGCTTGTTCACCCAGCTCACATCTTCCTACTCTCCAATTCCAGCAGCTTTGAAGACCTCTCTGTTCTTCAACCCTCCTCTGCTTTTTCTACTGTGGGATCTTTGTACCTGCTGTTCTCTGGCCAACAGCTGCTTGGGGGATTTTTTTTTATCATTATTAAGCAGCCAAAGAGCCTAATGCAAAATAAGCTAAGGCTGCCATTTGGTAAAGTAATGCCTCAAACCTGTCTTGGAGGTATATATTTTCACTAAGACTTAAATAGTTGCAGAGAAACCTTGGCATAGCTTTATGCAGTCTTATCCCGATTTCTTCCCCTTGAAATTTAACATCATATGGGCTGGGGATTTAGCTCAGTGGTTCCACCGCCTGCCTCTCAAGCTGAGGACCTGGGTTTGATCCCCAGTACCAGAAAAAAAAAGAAATTTAACATCATAACCTATAAAATCAGTATAGTGAGATGGAGAGGGACAGGGTCAAAGACTTATCTGCTTTGCTGCCTCAACTTCCCTTATGTTTTCCAGTCCTGGAATTTGTAAGATACTTAGGCACGAAAAGTACATTCAAATCTGCCTCCTTCCTGTCGTAGACCTGATGAGTAACAGTATTATAAAACTCCTATTTTTAAGGGGAAAGACTGTAAGTGTTTTGATACAATGAGACAATAAGGGAATAGTGTAGCCCAGGCCTAAAGATAAGGAAATAAGAGGAAGTAAGTTGTAGGTCTTGACACTGCTTGCACATAATGTAGCTACTTCTCTAGAGTCTGTGGCTTTGGGGTATGTTCTGGCTGACTTAATGTGAACACAAGCTTGCTAATTAAAATTCCATTTGGTCTCCTCCAGCAGCCTTTTCCCTTACGAATAGTTATGCCACTTCCATAATGTCTTCTTTGGGTTAAGCTAAATGGTGTCACTTTGTCCCTTCATGTGTTTGTTTCAGTTCCATTCAAGTCCAGTAGTGGGAAGAACAGAGGAGCGTGACCTTTCCTCTTAGCTGTGCTTCCTGAGTGACATAAGCCCAGCTCAAGTCAATGAGTGAAATCATCTCTGGTTTTAGCAAATTACTCGGTGCTTAAGAGCATTCAGTAAGTGGTACTACTATTTTTAAGAAAGGAAGGCAGAATTATTCATTTCTTGATATTCTTGATAAACTGAGTATTTTATGTTTTGATAAATTGCCTCTGAGCATACTTTATGACAGATACCATTTTAGGCCTGGGGAAGACAAGGTCCTAGCCTCCCAGGGCTCTAGCTGGGGAGACAGAAAATATGTGTTACTAGAATAAGTATCCCTGCCAGTAATATATGGTAAATGTAAGTGTCATATGAAAGCTCATTGAATATTAAAAATTTAGAAGTTAAAGGATTTGTCCTGAAATGAGAAAAGTCCATGCCCAAACTGGTTGTTCATTTTTCTCTTCTGTGGCATGTGTCCATGCCATATTTGTGGTCCCAGTGGCTTTTTCCCTCCCACGTTTTTTGCAGATACTTGCAGGCTGAGTTGCAGAGGATAAGGGATTATGCCTTAGTTTCTTCACCAGACAGCCGGGTGCCAAATGTTGTTTATAGCAGTGTTTGAGTAGGCAGGCTCGATGTTTGTCTCCTAGAATCACTCTCAGCACTATGGATTTTTACTTGCATCAGCAGCTTAGAATGTGGCAACTTCAGTGCTAAAGCATAAATCTAGCTTCACAGTGTTTGGAACAAGCTGATCAAAGCTCAGATTGTACTCGGTGAAGCTTTTGTAGTCTGTTTATCTTTCTGGCTTGCTAATGCTCTCTCAGTTTAGAAAAGAATGACTTTTAGTGTCCTCAGTTGCAATTAGAAGTTCCTGGGCAGGATTTCGTATACATTATTCTTATTTTGTGTATGCAGAGAAATAAACCAATGGGTAAATGAAATTGAAGGGCTGTTTCTTTACTGAATTTGTCTTCAAAGTGAGGAGTGTATGGGCAATAAGATTAGACAGGAACCTTTTCATTGAGAGTATATAATCTGATTCAACATGGCTTAAGCAAAAATGGAACTTTATTGGGCCAGAAACTGCAGAATCCACAGAAGAGTGAGATTGAGGTATGGTTGGATTAGAGTCATTAGGAGCCAATCCATCGTTTTCTGAGTCTGCTTCTGTCTGTGTTGGCTTCATGTTCTGGTGCCACGTAATGGCCCATGACAGCACTGGCTTCATCAGTATCTTTACTGGTAGCAATTTCAGCAGGAAAGAGTAAGCCTATTTTCTAACAGCCCCAATAAAATCCTGATCCTAGCTCTCATTGACCCAAGTGGCCACTGCCAAATTAAATCACTTATGGCCAAGGACATAGAATAGGCCTACCTGGCTTAGGCCTAAGTGGTCACACTTCTCCAGTCATGTTTGCCAAAGTAACCTTAACTCAGATGGCTTGCATTACCACATGCTTGAAGACTTCCTTCCTTGACTAGAAAATAAGTCTTGATTCTGTAGCAAGATACAGGAAAGAGGAAAAGAGGTGTTTGTGAACCTTTCCCTTTTTGGGGATAGGTCCCTCTGCCTTTGCTCACCAGCTACCCTCAACCTGAGTGCTGTCTTTTTTCTCTCTGTTAGAATCTTGATTGTTCTTAAGGCTCAAGGTCAGTGCCTCTTTCTGCAGAAGGGTTCTCAGGGTCTGCTTCATCCTCTATACTTCTCCCTAGGTTAGGGTCCCTCATTATACTTGTGTTAAGTTGCATATATGTGTGTTAAAAGATTTTTTTTTTTTACTTTAGTACTTGCTTAGGTTAGGAGCCCACCACTTTTTAATTTTTTTTTTCCCGTTACTGGGGATTGAACTTAGGACCTTGCGCTTTTGAGGCAGGTGGCAGAACCACTGAGCTAAATCCCTGGCCCAAGGAGCCCACCACTTTAGACCACTTTATCAGAGGTTTTTAAGTAAGTCTGTAGTAAGTCATGCCTTCATGTCACTCTCTCCTGGTGATCCTCCTGCCCCAGAAGCATGGAAATAGCCTTCGAGTGTTTTCATTGGTGAGCTTGGGCTCTACACAGTACCTTAATGGATATGAGTTCCTCTTTTATCTTTACTAGCTTATACAGTAGACCCTCAAGTTAGAACCGGCTTGACATATGAATAACTTGGGTTAATTAAGCTAGTAGAAGATTCATCTGCCTCTTGCTGTCTATAGTGTGTACCCAGGTAAACATCCACATCTCAGCTGTATTGACTAAGTTACAACCAGCCCTTGGAACTGATCGAGTTTGTAAGTCAAGGGTTCACTGTACATCCTTTTTATGTGCTATGGCTTGGATCTTGCATGTTCTTCAAAGGCTCATGTGTTGGAGGCCTGATCCTCAGCCTGTGGGGCCTACTTGGAGGTGGTGGAACCTGTGAAGAGTGAGGCCCAGTGGGAAGTCACTGGGGGCATGTCCTTGTCAGAACATTGGACCTTCTCCTTCCTTTCTCTTTCCTGTCCCTCTCTCTCTTTAGTCTATTCCAGCGTCTCCATCCTGAGGTGAACAACTTTGCTCTGTCATGACATGCTGCCTCACTGCAAGCCTGAAGGCAATGGGTCTTCCTGACCATAGACTGAAACCTCCAAAGTTGTGAGCTAAGATAAACTTTTCATCTTTCTAAGTTAAGTATCTTAGGTATTTTGTTACAGTAGCAAAAACTGACTAAAACTGAAGTATATGCCTAATAATTTTATGTTGAATGAATTACTGATAGTAGCTGCAAAGAAACACAAATAGCACATAATCTATCCTTACTCTTTATTCTGTGCTTTAGTATGCCAATTATCTGTAAAAGTAGATTTTCAGGAGTAAGTGAGCAGAATCCGCTAATTTAGTAGTTTTCCCATTATTACTTTTATTTTCTGTGGTTTCGGT